CATGACGTAGGGGCAATGGTAGTCTTTCTTCTGACTCACACAGAATTCTTACTTTTAAGTCTATAGGACCCACTCAGCAAGTCCCAGGACTGCAGGATGTTTACACTGGCCAGGATTTCAAAGACCTTGTCATCTAGCCCATGACACAGGGAGCCAAAGAGCCCCAGAGGGAGACCCTAATGAGGCCAGAGCCTCTTGCTACCTCCTATTTAATGTATTTCCTTCTTGCAGGGATGGGAGAGCTTAAATAAACTGCAATTGGGTCTTTACCTAAAGTTGCCCTTTCTGTAAGGCACTGAGGAAGAGTAAATGACACACACAAATCCCTTGCCCAGAGCTCTTTTGACATAAATATTCCAACAACTAATGAAAGCAAGGTCTTGTTTTTATCTCCCAAAGGAAAAGTCTAACAGGAGATATGACTGGCTAAAATCTGGGCACTGGGGAAGACCACTGTTATGATCAAACGGTCATAACACCTGGTCTCTTGGCTTGAATGGTGGCCAGGAAAAGTCTTAGGAGGAGCTGGGCTCTGGATTGGGCACCTGCTTTCACTCCTTTCTTACTGACTGCCAATCACAGAGAGCAGAGCCAGTGTCTGGGACAGGACCTTTGGTATGATTGAAAGTTCTTATCTTCACATGGATGCAGGACATCTAGGCATGGCTACATATCACTAAATACTACCTTAGATAAAGCGTAAAGGGTGGGTGGAAATATTTGACTGGCTTAATTCCTTGGAGTCCTGGCGTTCCCATTTTTCACAATGACCGGGATCCAATTGTGACAGGGGCAGAGAAGAGCCTCTAATGTGGCGGGTCTTAAAGGCAACCAGACTCACGGGGCTGCTGGTCACCCCCAGCCCTCAGGGAAGAGCCCATCAGCTCCCTGGGTTCCAGAGGAGGAGCTTGATATGCTGAAGGGTTCCACACTGGGCCATGTTCACAGCCTCACTTTGCCCCTCTGGGATGATACAGCAGGCTGAGTCAGGAGGAACCCTGGAGGGCAGGGCCCTCCCAAAGTGCAAAAGCCTTGGGGTTATTAGGCTGCCCTTCTGGGGGCTGCACTCTTAGCTCTCCACTGCCCTCTGAGCCTTCTCCTCCCTGCAGCCAGAGTAAACTTTTAAAGAACACATATTGGATCCTGACGCCATTCCACCTCAAAGAAACCTAGATAACACTCAGCAGAGAGGTCAGAAGTTTTCGATGGCTTCCAAGAGCGTAAGTGGTCAAACCTCCCCTCTTGTGTGATTTTTTTTTTTTTTTTTTAGGTACTGGGGATCAAACTCAGGACCTTGTGCTTGCCAGGCAGGCGTGGTGCCACTGAACTAAATCCCTGGCCCAAACCTCCACTCTCAGAGCTCATTCAGAAGGATTTGGTGTGGTACTAATGAATCTGTGGAAATACTCAGTATCCTTCCCTGGACAGAAACATAGTGCCTCATTTCTCTTCTATTCCACTCCACCCTTCTTTTGAGATAGGATCTAAATTGTCCAGGCTGGCCTTGGATTCCTGGGCTCAAGTGATCCTCCCACCTCGGCTTCCTAAGTAGCTGGGACTACAGGCACACATTATGATGTTTTCCGCTTGAATCCTTGATCAACCCTTGCTTACTGGGGGCAACAAACCAGGTCTTTGTTCTAAGGGAGAAAGCAGGTATTGCTTCTAAAGTAACCTGGCTGGCTTTATCTTCTTATCTCCTGGGCCTTGCCCTCTCTCCCTCTGCTTCAGAAGATCTGTGGCCACCACCCTGTTTCCAGTTTCCACCTTCCATTCTTGCAACCTCGAAATCCCCACCATCTGCCTGCTAACTTCTATCCCCAGCCCAGCTGGCCAGGCCACCCCTTCTATACTATACCCTAAAGAGCTCCAGAGTGAGCTCACCTTCTCCAGGCCTCCCACTCTGCAGTTCCCAGGGTCCTCCCTTCCCTGCCACTCTCAGGCAGAGTCTTTGGGACCACATTGTCTTGTCTATCTGGTCTGTGACTAGCTCTCAAAGTTCGTTGGCTATGTGGTACCACTTTGAGGTATGATTCTCCAAAAGAGAGTGGCTTTACATGTCTGTGTGGCTAAAAGGCCCCAAGGGATGAACGTAGCTAAAACTTTAAGGCTTTGGATGATGAAATTGCCCTTGCTAAGAGCCATCAGTGAAAGGAGGCATCAGAGTGCAAACTTATGCTCAGCTGATCTGGCTAAGGGTTTAAAGTTTTGCAAAATGAGGAGCTGAATAGGCAGATGTCATTAAACCCTTCCATCTCTGACCTCCTTCAATGCTAGTGGAGCCCTAGGGGGCCCTGACCGTCCAAGCCTGGGTGAAGGAGGAGGGAGGCAGGGTGAGTGGGAGGGGCAGAGGGAGCCAAGGTGCCTGCAGTGAGCTACATCTGCTCCAGCACTGCCTGGCCACCACCAGACGGTTCAGAGCCTCTGGCAGCTTGTAGCAGCTGGATGAGAGGAGGAGGGAGTGGACAGGAGGCTGCCGGTGCACCCAGGTAAGTGGGCACCGCACATCTGGCTGCATGTCCAGGCCAGGAAGAGCAGAGATGGAGACACTGACCTGTTCTCTAACTTTTCTAGTCATGGAAAGGGCAGACAAGAGGCATAAGAGCAGCCCCAGAAACATTCTCTGGCTGGCTGATCACGCACTGGGGTGCATCTGTGTTCCTCATAGATAACTCTGCAGGATATTTAGAGGAGAGATTTTAATGAAGCCTGTCTGGGTGATTCTTCCCTGGCTCTGATTTTCCAGGCACTACTTGGTTTAGAGTGATGACCAGATTACAGAGCTCACTAGCAGTCCGGGATAGACACCTCAGGGCTGGGACTTGTAATATCTTGATTAATAACATGATCAGAGCAGTTGTGAGAAACCCCATTTGGCTCTTCCTACCAAATGAAAAGTTGGAGGTAGCAGGGACCTGAATTTGCAGAACACAGCAGCAGTTGGGGCCCAGGGTGAGAGAGCTGAGCCATGGGTCTTTGAGAGCAGCCGAGGACAGAGCCTGGGGTCCAGGCTGAGAGATGTGTTGGGATGGGCTGAAGGGAGGCCACAAGCTACTGTGTTTGCTGTAAGGAATTAAGAATCTTCTCAGATGTGGGGATGAACCATCGAGGAAAGAATTCATTTCCTTTCCTGTCCCCTCTAATTCAGCCTACATCATTTTAGTCTCCCACCAAACCGACCTCTTATCTGTTGCCACCAACCTTGTACCCGATCTAGTGAGTTTTTGGATTTTTTTTTGTGGTACCAGGGATTGAACTTAGGACCTTGCACTTTCAAGGCAGGTGCGGTGCCAGTGAGCTAAATCCTCAGCCCTCTAGCATATTCTTGAAGAAGGTAGAAGTCCAGAGGGTGAATTAGATTCCAATCAGACCCTGAGCTCCTTCTTCTGGTTCTCCAGCTTCTCAACTTGACCTGTAGGCAGGAAGCTAAGGAGAGGCGCTGGCATTTACCTTATATTTCTTGTGTGACAAACAGCCCAGGCATCTGCTGATCCCTAGCTGGTCGTGATGATGATGAAGAGGGTCACTAAGACAGTTGTGTTGAACTCAAACTACTTCAGGGTGGGGGTCATGGCTGTCTAGGGATCGGGGGGGGGGGATGGAGACCTTGGTGTCTCTCCCCTCAGGGTGGTCCATTGGGTCCTCCTCATGAGCAGCTGTCCTCCCTCCATATCCTTTCTCATGACTTCTTTCAACATGGGGGCTGTGGTCCATGGTGCCTGTGACTGCTCCAGAATGCGGCTGGTACACAGTGGCATTCCAATATGCTGAAGGGCAAGTGGCAGGGCTGTAGAGGGGATGCACTGGGTCCAGAAGTACCAGGGGGTGGGCAGTTGTGAAATGGAAGTGTATCAGTTGGAGTGAGGAATTCTCTCTGTTATCTGTGATTCTATATTGACTGCCGGGCTCTTTGGGCAGGAAATGGAGTCTCCTAAATGGAAATGCTTGGCCATGGGCCAACCACACAGGAGGTGGGTTTTCTGGAGAGTTCTTTCAAGTTTCCTCCAACCCATTGATGGCTCACATCCTGTCCCAGAGCCAACTCTGCTCCCTCTCTTGTGTGAGACTCCCCATTGGGCATAAGAGATGGATGCAATTAAGAGGACAACGAGAGAGATACTGGTGGTGGTGGCAAGAAACTGAGTGAGGCTGAGAAACATATGTGTTCACTTGTCACTATAATTTGCTGCCTCAGAGGAGAGTAGACAGATTTATGGTGATCCCATTGGCCTGGGCATGGAAGAGTTCATGAGCTGCCAAGTCATGGACTCTCCTCCTCCACAGACCTTGAGAAGTGAAGGATTCCAGATAGGTTGAGGATGGGAGGTAGGGAGATGCCAGGCTGTAGAAAATCTCAGAGTTGGGGAGGAGTCAGGAGGCCGAAGAATTTCCTTGGAGGATTCACACTCCAAAGTCAAGAGGTCAAGGCTGTTAAACAGCTGGAAGAACCCTGAATGAGATCTGGAAAAGCTGTGACTCACTCTCTTGGGGGTCACAGGCCTAGGTCCCGCCAGAAGGCTGGGTCACCAGTCCAGTAGGCAGGCTCAACATTGTGTTTCCTTTACCAGGGAAAGGTAAATTGGGCAGCAATCTACCCCCTGCCTTGTGTCTGGAAAGCTGGTGTGCTGGAGCCAGGGAATTGTGGGAGACTGCTAGTGTCTACTTAGGGTTAGACAAGCTCTGGGGACGGCAGCTTTTCCCAATGTGTTCATCTAAGATATTGGCCGGGGTGAAGGGCGCACAGGGAATGGGGAAAAATAAGAACCAAGATACATCATGTACAGGTACAAGCACCCAATGATAAATGTAAACGTATTGTATACCTTAAATGTACCCATAAAAGAACTGAAGCAAAAAAAAAAAAAAAAAGGGATATTGGCCAGGGCACTGATGGTGTGGGATGGGTGGGCAAACCACCCTGGACCTCTCCTCAGCAACTTATCTTCCATCCTCAGGAGATCAATTTCTACCTTCAGAGGAGCCAAAGAGGAGCCAGAACAATGGCGGGTGAGAGAACTGATCACCCCTCCAGTCCCAGGCCTGTGGTTCTCCTTATGAGGGGGAGAGGGAGGAGGGGTGGAACCCACCCACGTCTTTGCTTTGGGTTTTGATTTGTTTTCCTGAGTAAAGGGTGCAGGGCTCCCACATGGGTTCCAGCTTCCTGGGAAGGAGCAATTGCTCTCTCCTTCTGCAGCGTTTCCTCAGTGACACACTGAGAGTTTTCCCAGGGTGCCCCCTGCCATTTCTGGGGGCTCCATTCAGACCACCAGATTCCCACTGGAAAGTTAAGAAGCAATATTCCCAGGCAGGAGGGAGGCTGGACAGCCCTGCTCCAACAATGGGAGAGGGAAGGAGCTTTGCTCCTTGCTTGAGTTGGTAGGTGCTCCAGTCTGAGTTGGTAGGTGCTCCAGTCTACTGACGCGTATCCAAGAGAGGGGAGGCGGGCAATCTCTCTCTCTCCCGCCTTCCCCAGGGAAGCCTGTGAAGAAGTCCTCCATCCCTGGGGTGAGCATCCGGCAGCTGGTGCAGGAGATCCCTGAAGGCTGCAGCACGCCGGACTTTGAGCAGAAGCCCATCACCTTGGCTCTGCCGGAGGGTGAGCCTTGGGCGGCGCTGCTGAGGGAAGGCATGATCCCTGCTCTCCTACCTCCCAGCATGCACAGAGAGAGCCTGGGCACCCACCTTCCTGGGGATCCTCCCTACATCCATCACCAGGCTGAGTCTTATCTCCCTCGTATGCTTGACGGGTGTCTGCCTGCCTGGATCCCTATAAGGGGCAGGGAGCCTGTGAGAAGAATGGGCAAAGGGCATGTAAGAAATGCCAGACAAGGACGGGGAAATGAAGGACTGGGGAGCAGGGAGAGGTGGTAGTGTTTCCTAGTCCTCCCTTCCCCTGGCTGCCTCAAAGCCATTGTTGCAAAGAGGCCTAGTCAAAATCTCTCCTCTCAAACTGTCCTCCAGTCGGCCATGCCCAGTGGCTCGGGGCAAGGCTCAGGAAGGCCGTTCTAGAAGGCCCCAGGAAAAAAGTGCAGGGAGGATGACATACATGAAAATCTCAGTATACTGCGAAGCCACCCCCACCCTTTCGGTCTCCCCACCTGCCTCTTCTGGCTGCAGGGAAAAATGCCATCTTCCGGGCTGTGGTCTGCGGGGAGCCCAGACCCGAGGTGCGTTGGCTGAGCACCAAAGGAGGCCTCAGCAACTCCAGCAAGTACCAGATCTCCTCGGCCCCAGGCAGCAAGGAGCACGTGCTGCAGGTGAGTGCTGCAGCTCTTCTCTCCTCTTCTTGGTCTCCCCAGCAGCCTCCAGTCCCCGGACAAGTAAGAGATAGCAGTTAAGTCCATTTGGTGCTTTCCCCTGGCTCAAGGTTGCCTGAGCCAGGAGTGGATCTGGGGGCTCAAAGATGCATTTCCTGATCGCCGGGGGCTGGGGGCTTGGCTGGAGCAGAAGGGCTGCAGCTGTGGAGCCACACTGCCCAGTTACGATCACAGTCCACCCGCTAGGCTTCGGAAAGTTGCTGACCTCTTTCTACCTCTGTCTCCTCATCTGGGAAATGGGGCGATATTACAATACCTACACTAAGGAGTTTTTATGAGGATTAAAGGTTTACCTAAAGTGTCCAGCCAGTGGTTGGTTCTATGGCAAGTACGGACTGTCCTCAGGTTGGGATGGTTTGACTTGGCAATTTTTGGCTTTATGATGGTGCAATAGTGAAGTGCATTGGGTAAAAAATGTACTTTGAATTTTGCATTTTGGTCTTTCCCTGGGCGGTATGCAGTGTGGTCATGTGATGGTGAGGGAAGACACGAATTCTGTACTCTACAGTATATTCTGGTCAGTGAATGACACAACACACCCAGTGCCTCGTTAGAAAACAGGCTTTGTGTTAGATGATTTTGTCCAACTCTAGTGCTCTAAGCACTCTTTTGTGTTTCTTTCTTCACAATTTCATATTATTTGTTTTTTTAAATCAATGAATGTTTATTAGTATGCACTTTTGGTAGTAATGATACATTCATCATGGAAGTCGGTGTGTCTACATATCACATCATAACCCTTTTCACTTCCCCTCTGCTCTTTTTCCTCCCTTCTCCTGCCATCTCTAGATCCCTTCTCATCTGCAAAAGGTCTACCTCCCTGCTCCCTATCGTCTGTCTTTTAATTTACTCTTTAAATTATTTATACTTTGGGTTTCTCATATAAAAGTAACCATGCAACTTTTAACTTTTGGTGCCTGATATGAGCACATTTAAGGTAGGCTTAGTTGAGTGGTGAAGCCCAGTAGGTTAGGTATATATTTTTGTTGTTGTTGTTAAATTCTTTTATTGGTACATTTTAGGTATACAACACAATTACATTTGTCATTGGGAAAC